TTCTCTTTCTGAAGACAAACACAGCAGTTGATGAACAGATCGACACTCCAACAGAATAGCACATCATAAAGCACTCGTCACTGGAAAGCCAGGGCCTTTTCACTTGCAATTTCCATCCAGTTACTCTGGATTTGAATTTCTGAAGACTTCTTCAGCATTTAACCAGTTCTTTGTTGCTTGAAGGGGCTAGGACTGTTTCTCCACACATGAACTGATCCTGAGAGCATAAGAAATGGCATTAACATTACTTTCTGTATTAGGGTTTCACTAGAGCAACAGATATAATACAAGGAACAGATATAACACAAGATGTACAAATGTACAAGAAATGACAAGACTGGCTTACAACAGTCAGCCAGAGTCACATGAGCAAACGTGCAGAGGGTGTCAGCACACCTGCAGAGAGTGTGTGCACACCCAAGACTGAAGGATTTAGTCGCAAGGCCTGGACTCACTGCAGTGATTCAGTACAAGTCGGCCATGCGGAGGCCAGAGAGTCCGCGCTGGAAGCCAGATGAAATCCAAGCTGACTGTGAAGACTGAATTTCTTTAGAGGAAGTGCAACACCAAATCCTTCCACAACCCCTTTATATATCCTTTTTGTGCTGAGGCACCTGGGGAGCCTCCACAGTCAGGAGTGTAGAACCACTGAGGGCGATCCAGCCAAGTTGACACAATGTATTGACTGCTACTACACTTTCATTTTGCTACAGAATCAACCGAACTGTTAAGTTTTCCATTGCTGTGTCATTTCATTCATGTTCAAAGAGCACTATCAGTATTAGAATTACAATCTTAAAAGTATGTTTTTAGTCCTATATTATTATTATTATTTTTTTTAATTTCTTTTTTTTAAAAATTATTTATTTATTTATTCATTCATTCATTTTGTGTGCGTGGCCAGCTCAGCCCACCAGGGGGCGGGGCTGTCTGGCATGTGGTGCTGGGGGATTGAACCGCGGTCCCTTTGTTTTGCTTAGCTTGTTCTAAGTAGGTGCTTTAGACCACTGAGCCATCTCACCAGCCCCAGTCCTATATTATTTAATAAGACCTTTTCTTATAAACATGCCCATCTTCTCAGACAGCATTTTCTCATGTAAGTTCTTACCAGAAATAACAAAAACGCAGGTCATGTGTTTTAAGTTTCTACTTAAAACATTTTTTAAGTAAAAATGTTTTTACTTCAACATTTGGGCATTGAAATACACATCCTCTTCAAAATAATTAGTGCTTCCAATAAAAGAGATAGGCCTTTATGTTTCCTAACACACATAATCTGCACCGCTGACTACTTTATTTTTTTTAATGTATTTGGTTGTTACAGTCTTACTATGCAGCTCATAGTGGTCCTCCTGTTTTCAGCTTCCCCAACACTGGGATTATAGGCATGTGCCACCATACCCAGACTCTGGCTGGCTCAGCCTGCCCTGGGGGCGGTGCTAGTACAGCCAGGGATTGAGCTGCGGTCCCTGTGCTTGCCTAAGCAGGTGTTTTAGTCTATTTCAGTGGCCCCAGCTATATATATATATATATATAAATTTACATGTATATCTGCCTTGGTTTATGTCACTCACAAAAGAGATCTTTCTCAGGCTACCCCTCATCTCCTACAACTTGATCTCTAAGGATCACTACTCTTCTGTCTCCCCTGCTCTCGCCTACCCACCACTCAGACCTACTGGCCCCTTCGGAATTCATGGCATATCTTCAGCACAGTGCTCCCTTTCTCAATCTCTCTTTAAAATGTCCCTTTGCCACCAATATCTGGAAACACTCTGGGTTGACACGAGTGGGGGTTTCTATTAGTACGTACTGGGTAGAGTCCAGGGATGCTGCTAAATAGCGTGTGTGCAGGACAGACCTGCACAATGCATCATCACACTTAAATGTCAACAGTGCTCAGGCTGAGATGAAGCCATACTCCAAGGAATGTCCCCAAGGTCCCCCTCAAGTACTGGCTGTGTGTGGTCAGAGCTCTAGTACCACAGGGGTTGGTATTGAGGACTGGTTACTCCTTTTTCTCACCAATCTCCTTTCTTCTTCTCTAAAGGTCCATCATCTTTGAAACTCACTCATGAGACTAGAAACATATTATTCCTCTCTGTTGCTGTCCTCTACCTAACGTAGATCCTACATTCCGATTCCTCTGGATTTCCACTATATTCTTCCTACCATCTTCTCTCAGTCCCTCTCTCTTGATGTTCTTTACCTTGTACATTTTCCATATGAGATTATTGTAACCACTCTTCTCTCACATCTTCCTATACATTTGGTAAAACCATAACCTTGATTAACTCTAACTTCCAGTGTCTAATTCATCAATATAGCCAAGTGTGTTACATTAAACCCTCTTAATTTTCTATCACTACCAATTACTGACCCACATCTATCCTACCACTTGCAACAAAATACCTGTAAGAAATGCCTAGAGTTGTTGCCTCCTATTCTACCATTCTCTCCAACCAGTTTTCCACCCGTCAGGTTTCTCTAATCAGGCTGCCCCTCATCCTCCACTGAAACTGCTCTCATCACCTAAACAAGCCAAGTCTGTCTTGCTAAAAACCAACAGCTAATTATCAATTTCTTATTAGCGACATCTGACAAGGTACATCCCTGCTTCCACTTCTCCCCCACCCAACCGGCTCCCAGAATATGATTTTCCTCCTTCCACAGTACTTGCTTAGTCAGCATCACAAACCATGACCTTTTAATCCTACAGCATCCCAGGTTAGTCTTTCTTGTTTATCACCCAAAGTTCTGATGATCTTATCTAATCTCCTGGCTCTAAATGCTATCTGTTGCTGAGAACTCTTAAACTTACACTGCAGCATTCTTTCCAACCCGACAAGCATATAATTGACTTCTCCACAACTCCACTTGGATAAGATCTTCAAACTTCGTATATTCGATTCCTCCTGTACAACTAATTACTTCCCCTCAACTGATGGCAACTTTGCTTCCAGTTAGGCCACACATGTTGAAATCATTCCCGACTTCTCTCCCATCTATAGTCAACCAGTAAGAAAATCCTTATCATTTGAAGTATATTCCCACTTCTCACTACTTCCACTGTGGAAGAATGGCTCAAGCCACCATTTCTACCTTAGGTTAATGGAACAGCCTCCTACTCCATTTCCCTGTTTCTTTCTTCACTCTGAGTCTCCTCTGAACTGAGTAGCTAGAAACATTCTTCTAAAGTCTGGGAGGAACATGACAATCCTCTGTTCAAAAGTTTCCAGTAGCCCAGGGTAACATTCACAGCAAAGGGCAAAGTCCTTACAGTCACCCTTCAACATCTCATTGGTCTATTTCATCTTGGACAATTCTTACTCATTTGCTCTGGTCACACTGATGTTTTCCTGCTCTCTGACAAAACCAAGCTAAATTCCTTCACTTGGGGTTCTCTCTGCTCAAATCTTTCACCTCTCACATGCAGATGGCTCACTCCCTCACTAATTAGTAAGACCTCTATCAATAAGGCCTGTCATGGTCACCTTATTTAAGATTACAACCATCTTCCACACCAGCATTCTTGATCTCCTTTGTCCTGTTCACTTTTTGTTCCAGAATACATTCTACTACAAGAATACACTAAATTTGTACATTATAGTCTAAATTATAGCCTGTTTCTCATGAAGTTCTGTGTTTCACCCTCACTTTCTCTCATAATCTGAAGAGTTAAGTCTTTACTTATGACCTTAAAGTATTGATAAAACTTTGAGGGAAGCAGTAAAAACTAGTTTTTTTGTTTTCTGTTTTTTTGGAAAAGCAATAGAAGAACTAAAGACTAAGGTAAAATCATAAAATAGCAACTTGGAGATATCTCAAACAGGATAATGCAGTTATATGTTTAAACCAAGCAAGAAATAACATAATTGTCCCCACAGAAATGTGTTTAGGCACCCTAAACGTATTACATATTAGATAAAAGAATACAATATCAATTAAAATAAACTTTGTAATTATTTTCCCTTTATAATAATCAATTTTCATTAAAGATTAGTTTATTATCCTCTCTAAAGCTAACATGAGTTACATAAGTAAGAAACTTTGTTAAGAAACTTTCTTCACCTAACTTCACAGCCAGGCGGCTCTAGGTCTTTCTGCGACCTCATAACCCTCTCCCCCTTTTCAAATGTATCCCTTACCTTGTCATAAATCACTTTTATAACAAGAGAGCAGCTAGGACACGTTGCCACGTCTTCTCCGTTCTCCAAATCTTCCTATAAGAAACCCAAACACCTGTGATCAGTACAGCTTTCCCTTGGCCATCTTCTTCCTTCAACCCCCTCGTCCACCCCCACGGGCAAGTGTCCCGGTAGACCGCCTCCCGCTCCCCAGCAGAGCTCGGTGGAGCTCTCCCCACTTCCCCCTGCACGCAGCACTCAGTGGAAACCCCACGCAGGTTAGGCGAGGGTCGTCATCTCGCAACTCCTGGCAAATAAAAAGCGAGCTTCTTCCTCTCCCCAGCACGTATCCCAGCGAAGGGCTCTTTGAGAGAGGCTGGTGCGGTCCAAACCCGGCGTTCAGGGTCACGCCCTCAGAAACCAGCCTGAAAGCCGGAACGACGTGTCCACCGAGAAGTCAGAGGCCTCATTTTAGGCAAAGGATGACTCAGAGCAGCAAGGGCGACTGCACGGCGCCAGGCAACACAGCAAAGAGAAAATGTGCCGCCGGACTCCGGTGAGAGGCAAGAGGGGGTCCTGAAGTTACCCTGGTGATGGAGAAGTTATCCCCACACGGGCAGGGGTAGAAATACGTCTCCGAGTCCTCGTCATACTGAAAGTCCTCGATCTCCACCTCGTCGTGGAATACTGCCATAGCCGAGGGGCCGGCCAAGCGCTGACAGCCGCGCCGTCCGACACCGCCTCGTCCGGTCTGATATAGCGCCCATGGGCTACAAAACGTCACCACGCAAGGCGTGAGGACAAGCGCTTCCGGCGGGAGGATCAGCACTTCCGGCGCACAGACAATGACGTAACCCGGCCTTGGCCGCCAACTGGGTGACCGGGTCGCGGTCACCATGGCGACGGGAGGGCTCGGGCAGAGGCGCTGGAAAGATGGCGTCTCCAGCTCAGCAGTGTCGCGCCCCGCGACCAATGGACGTGGAGCTTGTCGTGCGGTTGTACGTCACGGTCTGAGACCGCGGAGGCGGCTAGGAGCTGAGGCGGAGTTTGGCCCCGGTGAGCTCGTGGCCGTGTGTGGTGTTCATTTCCCCGCGTCATGTCGCCGGCCTGAGAGGGGCCTTGAACAGCTCGCTGAAGTGTGACAAGTGGCAAAGCCTGGACACCCATTTGTTTGGTTTCAGGCGGTGGCCGGAGCTGCTCGACGTCTTCTCTGTTCTACCTGGTGACCGAGTAACAGCTCCTGTGGAATTTCACTTCATCAGCTGACCTTGGGGGTCAGGGTGACGTCGTTTGCGATAGTTCCTGGGTGCAGGTACTACATCTCAACCTCTTCCTCGTCCCAGACATCTTTAAATACTCTGAATTGTGTTACTGCGAGGACCAAGACCTGGAGGGCAGAGATTGAGACAGTCCTATGTGGCTAGGCAAATACCGTTAATTACTACGATGATTTGTATTAACAGTAATAACATCACTTTTTTATTGTTGGTTGTGAATTGGTTATGTGTCAGGTATTGTGCTAAGTATAATTCTCCCCTTAATCCTGGGTGTTCTCAATTCCATTTCATTAATCTTTAAACTGAGATCCAAAGAGTGGACACCTTGACCAAATCACAAACTTAGACGATACGAGCCTTTCCCCATAGATCAGAAACAAATTACCTGTGTGAATGCCAATTCCTCCTGTAAAAGGAATAGTATCAGTGGGGTGGGCTTGCAACACGAGTCCTCTTTGAACCTTGAAGCTGAACGCAATCTGTGTGAAAACAGCGGTGGAGCTTGTTTGGTACAACCAGACACCACAGAGTATTGCTCCATTACTGGGCAGTTGTTCATATTTTAGTAGAAAAGGAATGAAGTGAGTGAAAAAAGCACTGTTGGAAAAAAAGGCCTTGAGGGCCGGCGAGATAGTTCAGCAGATTGAGGGCCTGCTTTAGCAAGCTCAAGGACCAGAGTTGGATCCTGGTGTGGTGGTACACACCTGTAATCCCAGCCAGCACCCAGGAGGCTTAGGCGGGAGGATTGCTGTTTGAGGCTACCCTGGGCTACAAAGTAAGCTCAGGGCCAGCCTGAATTGCATAGTGAAACCCTGTCTCAGAAAGATAAGAAACAAACCAACCAACCTGCCAGTTACAAGGGGCTACCTGGGAAGTGTCCATGTGTACAGAGATGCAGGGACCTGGATGAAACAACATAAATTTCCTCCACCACAGTGCTTATTCTGTTGAGATCTAGATTTGGAGGCTTTTCCTCAGCATTCCATGCTGTTTCCATCCTTCCATTTGTTGCCTGTCTGCTGTGTCCACCACTGGTGGTTCCTCTTGTGGTTCTTTGCACTTTGCACTGTTCTGAAGAAAGCAAACCCATAGCTCAACATGTAATATAGGTTTTTCCTTTTTTTTTTTTTTTTTTTTTGAGGAACCGGGAATTGAACTTAGGCCCTTGCGCTTGCCAGGGAAGCACTTATTCTACTGAGCCATCTCCCCTGCCCTTTTGTTTTTACTCCACAGCACTTTTAGGAAAACACTACAGTGACTACCAAATTTTCCTTTTATCTTTAAAAGAGAATAGAACCATTTTGTAACGACACATTTTTGAACTTGAGAGTATGACAAGAACATATTAGTAGTTACAGAATCATTTGCTACAAGTTTATTTTACATAGGTGTTAACACTCCTTATAAGGACTGGTTACAGTAAAATTCTTGGTATAAGATCTGATTCGGAACTAGATTATAATTGTGTCATAGCAGCTATATTTGATGAGTACTACTGTTGTGTAACTGTCCAGGGAGAATTGGTTTTTGACATCATCAAACTCCACTACCTCTGGGTTTGGCAAGGATGAGAAAGGTTAGTATATGAGGACTGATTTTTAGTAGCACACTGGCTTGTCAGCTACTCCACAGATATTCTATTTATTCCTCCCACAATCCAATGAGGTAGTTGTGGGTTTTGTTAAAATGATAAAACATGGATTGCCCAAGCTACACCAAAGGAAAAAAAAGCCCCGTCTACTTCTTATATGCTTCTCAGATTCCTTTCCAAGTACTGGGAGTCCCTTTGTTTCTTCCGTGACACCCGTGAATCAGAGTTGACAGGTGCCACAATTGCTTTGAAAATTTACTACTTTATTTCTGGACAGTCTTTCTCTGTGAAGCATTCTCGGTTTCTCTCTCACTCCCAGCTCTCTCAGATCCCAAATTCCTGCTTCTACTCTTGATCCTAGATAATCATTCTTCACACAGTAACCTGGCAGTCATTTAAAAGTACAAATTAGATTGTGTTTTGTTTTGGTTTTTTTTCCTGATTTATTCACTCTTCAGTTGCTTCTCGGTGCCTTTAGGGTAAAGTTCATGTCCTTACCTGCCCTGCTGTGATGGCGACATGTCTACTTACTCAACTTTATGTCAAAGTGCTCTCACTTGGCTTGCTGCTTCAGCCACCCCAGTTTGATTCCTTTACATGCCAGGCTTTTGGGGGGCCTTTTTCTGCTGATCCTTCCTCTGCCAGAGTGTTTTCTCTTGAACATCTGCCTAGCTACCTTGGATCCTTCTGGTCTCAGCTCAGGTGCTGTCACTTTTGTTACCACTTCCCTGGTACTGTTCCACTCATGCCATTCCAACCATCTTTATCACACTCATTATCATGGTAATAATCTCCTTAATTGTCTGTTTAGTATGTTCTCTATGTATAAAGGCTTCAGGGTAGCCAGACCATTGTATTAAGTTCTTATTATATGTCCAGGGCTTAAAATGGTGAAACTAAAACCAGTGTAATGAATCTTAAATTTTAATCTTTTACTTTCAATTATTTGTTTTGGAACTTAGGTAAGAGCTATCACTGGCCAGGCATGGTGATAAACATCTGTAATTCCAGCACACAGGAAGCTGAGGCAGGAAATTTACAAGTTTCAGGCCAACTTGAACTGCATAATGAAACCATGTGTCAAAAAGACCAAACAACACAACACAACAACAAAAAACTGTCAGTTTTATTTAGCATTTATAGTAAATTTTTTGCTTTTCAGAATAGTTAAGATTTTTTGGTAGCAGTTTGTTTGTATACAGGTATTTACAGGATGATTTTTTATAGTTTTATAAGTACCTTAACATACATTGATCTGTTTCAGTTGACTAAATATTTTTACTAACTATACTTTCCCTTGGGCATGTAAAAATGGATAGATTTTTAAAATTGACATAAAGCTTTAGAAGACACTTTGAACCCAATTTTATAAAAATGCTCTTTACCAGTAGGTGGCAATCTTGATCATAATTATTATTTCAAAACACTATTTTAGAATGTTTAAAAGAACAGCTTTTAAAAATTAACATTTCTGTTTTCTGGGTGAGAAGTAGACCATCCAAAGAACATAGTCACTAAAGGTGTTTCATATTGGAAAGACTATTTTAGTAATAGCTGTCTAAAACATTAAACAGAACAGTATTTCCATACATAGTAAATGTGACCTTAAATGATATCTTAACTATCATTATAGTCTTCAGCTATGTTTTTTTTTAAATTTCTAAAAAGTCTTTTATTTATTTGTTACAGGGTCTCCCTACACAGCTCAGACTCATAGTGATCCTCCTGTCTCAGTCTCCCCAGCACTGGGATTACAGGCTTGCGCCACCACACCTGGTTTTGGGGCTGGCGCGGCATGTGGTACCAGGTATTGAACTTAGGACCTTGCGTTTGTCAGGCAGGTGCTTATCTCCCCAGCTCACAGTCTTATTTCTGGAGCAGCTTGCGCAGAAGCATGAACCAAACCACCAGTGTCCAGGCAAGGAGGCTGGCCAGCCAGTTTATGGCAAGATGAAAGGGAATTTGACATGGGTTGCCTGAGTAGTAGGAGTTAAGAAGGTCCAAGGAAGCTGAACAGGAGAAACAGTCACATAATCAGAAATAAAAGGGGCAAGATGGGAAGGGGCAAGTAGGCTCCCTGCAAGGGGCCCTGCTGATTCTAATGAGCCTTTGCTTTTACAGCCAGGACTTACTCAGCCTTTTTCTTAGTTTCCCAAAACATTTTTCTTACATATTGTCTCTGCCATTCCAGGAGCTTTGTGGGAATTTCAGTATATGGAACACTTGCCCTTGCTCTGATTGATAGCAGTGAAGTACAGCAGCCAGAACATTCTGCAGTAGCCAGCCGGCCTCACGTTTATAGAACCCTGAGGGCTCATGGACTTCTAAAGTCCGTTTCACCTTCTTCCTTTTGGTGATGATGCTCCACTGTTGGTTTAGTGCATTGAGTGGTTAACACATTGTCTTTGGTTTAGTCCTTTTAAAGGAGAGAAACTGTAATAGTCTTGCATGAAAGGGTGATTATGCTTTTTTATTTATTAGAAAAATACCTGGTAGCAATATCCACAGTGATGCTGAATAGTACCATGTCAAGAATAGATCTTTTATCTAATAAGTAGTTATAAGGACTGGCCAGATAGCTCATGGACTAAAGTGCCTGCTTAGGCAGAGCGCAGCGGCTGGGGTTCGATCCTGGACATGCCTTGTCCCCCCCCCCCGCCCCCCCGGGCCACACACCTGTAATCCCAGTGCTCGGGAGGCTGAACGCATGAGGATTACTATGAGTCCGATCTACATAGTGAGACCCTGTAGACCTTGTACTAAATACATAAAAAAAGGTAAAGAGTAGTTATAAAGTGGCAGGCTTTTTGATATCATTTGATTAGAGGCAAATAAATCATATCTGGCTTGCATCTTTACCTGATTTCTTTTCTATCTCTGCCTTTTAGAATGTAAGCCGAGAGGCCGTTTTCTTCATGCGTGTGTTACCAGCGGCTAAGTAGGTCAGTGTCTGCTTCCTCTTGGGCTCTTAACTATTGAATGAAGGACTAGGTTAGTGAATATGAAGCTTCATTAATTAGTTTGACTATTTTCTTAGCTAAATTTATTAAAGTTCTAAGTGCCTTCCAAACAGCTCATAAAATAAGTGTTCACATATGTTTTTTATTCTCAAAGTAATTAAGATAGGAAAAGATCGGTATGATAATAAAGCATGTTAAATGTGGCTGTTTGGGGCTAAGAAGTAATTAAAAATTGGCGTAAGAAAATAGCGTTGCCAGGAAACAATATATATATTGTTTTATATTCCAGTAGGGTTTTTTTTTTTTCCTTTTTGCTTTATTTGTACATGTTTGTGGTACATAATGTTTTGATTCCTTGTGAGCTGGTACATGGACCTAATAGGTCTTAATTTCTTTCTCATCTCTCTTCCCTTCCCTCCTTCCCCCTTCACATCTTCATGCCCTTCCTTTTTATTCTATTGTAAATATTTTCAGTATACAGTGTCTGCACTCCCTCTGTAATGTTAGTGCAGTTATATAGCACATCTGTAACAAAAAGAATTCTTTTTTCTTGCTCTGTTACTCCTCCTTGATTTCCTTCCTCCTTGAGAAAAAAAATCTGTCGTCCTACTTCCTACTTAAAAATTATTTGTTACATAAAAGCACTACATATTTAAAATCAGCCATTAAGTGACCATACTGAGAAAAACCTCTTCTCCCCTATAGTTTTAAAAACTCATGATAGAAAACATTTGACTTTTCTGTCAGCCTGATGTATGTAAGTCAGAGAAATTGCATCATAACTAAAAAATCATTCTACTTTAAATATGCTTCCAAAATTTGTATTAGAGTTTATTTAAAATTCAAAGACTAGAGCTGAGGTGACAGCTTGGTGGCCTAAGTGCCTTCCTGGCAAGTGCAAGGACCCAAGTTCAGTCCCCAGTACCGCATGCCATGCCAGCCCTGGAGCCCTAGGCACTCTATGCCCAGCCACCAAAACCAGGCGTGATGACACACACCTGTAATCCCAGCACAGAGGAGGCTGAGAGGAGGATCACTCCGAGTCTTAGCTGCGCAGCAAGAGCCTGTACCAAATAAATAAAAGATTTAAAAAATTTAAAATTCAAAGACTAAAGTATTCCAAGGTTTTGCAGCATTTGTAATATCATCGGTACACTATGGTTTATTTTTATTTTTAACTTATTATTTTTTAATATATTTGGTACAAAGTCTTACTATGTAGCTTGGACTCGTAGTGACCCTCCTGTTTTCAGCTTCCCCAGTGCTGGGATTACAGGTGTGTGCCACCATTCCCAGTCTTGTGCTAGGGGATTGGGGCCAGTGTGGCATGTATTTTTTTTTTTTTAACAGTACATGTTTGCAGTACATAATTCACTGTAGGGGATTGGTACATGTACATAACACATTTCAGTATCCATCCCCCCCCCCCCGCCCGTCTTCCTCAACTCCACTTTTTATTTTTCTAGCATCTGAGAGTCCAGTACTTTTAAGAACTGAAATGTTAGGAAGCCTTTCATTATGTGTGTGTTTTTAACTTTTTATTGAAGTATAACTTAGAAAGAGAAAAGCACACAACTCCTAAGATAACAGTTGATGAATTTTTAAAGTGCAAATACCTAGGCCATTAACGCCCAGATAAAGAAATAGCATTGTCTTAAGTAATGGCTTACTTGATTTCTAACAGCAGAGATTAATTTTACCTTTTTTTGTATTTTGTGTGGTTGGAATTAAAGAATATGTGCTCTTTTGAGCCTGGCTTCTTTTATTCAAAATGATATCTGTCATATTCAATTATATTACTATAAATACTTGCAGTTTATTCATTGTCATTTTTGTGTAGTATATTTGTTTACCCTTATTTTTTTATTTTTTTTATGTATTTGGTACAGGGTCTCATATGCAGCTTGGACTCATAGTGAACCTCCTGTCTCAGCCTCCCTAGCGCTGAAATTACAGGCATGCGCCACCACACTGGGTCTTGGTGACCGACTCAGCACACCCAGGGGTGGGGCCAGTGTGGCCTGTGGTGTCAGGGATCAAACCCTAGTCCTTGTGTTTGCCTTAACAGGCACTTAGTTCACTGAGCTATCTTGCTGGCCTTGTTTACTCTTCTTAATGGCACTTTGCATAATCTAGTGTGGGCTATTGTGAATAATATTATATGTTGTTTTGTTTAGTATTTGGGATCTGAAGTTTTTTATGTTTGAGAACCTCAGTAAATTTGTCTGCCTTTTGCATTTTCTCTTAAGAAATAGTAAGGTCTGTGTGGCCCTCATCAGTTGGAATACAGTTATCAGCAGTTATAAATCTACCTTCCTCTTCTGTAATAGCATAAGTAATCACATAAACTTGGTTACAGATTTTGAAGCCCAACAGAACACATGACTATAGTCACATGCCAGATAATAATGTTTCAGTCAACAAAGGACCGCACATACATCCCTTAAGATTACAGTGGAGTTGAAAAGCCTCCTGCTGCCTAGTAACACTGTAGTCATCATGATATCAGAGCACAACTTGTTTGTTTTGTTTTGTCTTTTGAGATAGGGTCTCACTATGTAGTTGAGGGTGGTCTTGAACTCACTGTGCAGCTCAGACTGGCCTCTAACTTGCGGCGGTCTTCCTGCTTCAGGCTCCCAAGTGCTGGAATTGCAGGCGTGAGCCATCAGACCTGGCTGCCCTTGTGTTTGTGGTGATACTGACCAATGAAAGGATAGCACAGACAGTTATGTACAGTACATAGTACTTGATAATAAGTGGCCAAATTACTGCTTATATATTTATCGTATCAGTTTAGGATAAGCTTCTATTTATAAATTATTTATTTATTTTTATTTTTTGTGTGTGTGTGTGTGTGTGTGTGTGTGTGGCCAGCTCAGCCCACCAGGGGGCGGGCTGGCTGGCATGTGGTGCTGGGGGATCGAACCGCAGTCCCTGTGCTTTGCCAAGCTTGTTTCAAGTAGGTGCTTTAGACCACTGAGCCATCTCTCCAGCCCCAAGCTTCTATTTATAAAAAAGATTTTTATCATGAAACAGTATCCATGTTACAGTGGTGACAGCAGCCTCGTGTAGCTCATGTTACAGTGCACAGGTTGCAGCAGGAGGCCATACTGAGCAACTAGCCGCCTCCATCCAGGCTTGTGCAAGTATTTTTTATGGTGGGATCCCCCAGAGAAGCTGTTCTCAGAATATGTTCCCGCTGTTAGGTGACACATGATATGCTTGATAGCACCAACAGTTACATATTTGAATCAGCTCTCAGTGGTAACAGATTTTGCCAGGTTAAGATCTTGCTTTTTTGTTGGCAGGCCAAGGCATAATTGTACTACAGAAATCCAAATTTTTTTTGGCCCCTAGTTGATGTTTTCACCACTTTTTCTTAAAATAGTTTTAAATTTGAGTTTGGTTTGCCAGGAAGCACCATGGCCTGCGCTGCTGTCTTGGTTCCTGGGTTTGTGGGATGCGCTGTGGGAGCCAGTTGCACACGGGCTGCTGTGTCAAGGCTGACACCAGGTACTTGGCGCCACCTTACCTTAGCCAGGTGAGTTTTGAGCTGGTATTTATTTTTAGAGACTTATCTCCTGGTGGTTGTGGGAAGCATAGCAAACTCCCAATGGAGAGAACATTTTGATTTGAGTAAAATAATGCATGCCATCCGTAGATGGTAAAACTTCAGTTACGTGTGTCTTCACCAACCATAATATTATATCATATGGGAGAGTCATACTATTCCAGGGTAAGCTAATTCCATTACATTTATGAGGATAGTGCTTAGTAACCTCATTTTACTTTTTATTAAAGCACAATGACATCCCAAAGGAAAACTGACCACTTGGAGAGGACTGCAAGTGTTGTTCGACGAGAGGTTTGTATCTTTGTGTGTGACAGATTTCCCTGGCCAGACAGCTTGAACAGTTAGGATCAGCTTCATGGGAAGGCAGTAGATGAGTTTGAAGCTAATTATTTTTCTGTTCTGAAATTTTATGAGCAGTAAATACTGACAACTACTTTTAGATTAGCTTTTTTTTTTTTTTTGTACCAGGGATCAAACTCGGGACCTTGTCCTTGCCAGAGAGGCGCTTATACCACTGAGCTATCTCCCCTGTCCTGATAACTGATTTTAAAAGATGACAGAACTATTCAGATTTGTCCTTTTGTCCTTTAAACATGGGACAAATGGATTCATTTTTGGTAAAGGTGAGTGTTGTGGCAATTAAAGGAACCATCCTCACAAGTATGACATTTTGGGTTATATTTTAGAGAGAAAACTTCTTTTAGAGCCTACATTTTATGAAATGGCTTATCTTCTTTCTTTGTTTTCTTTCTTTTTCTCTCCGGTCCCCTTGGCACCATCTCAAAGCCTTCAGTCATCCCTACTTTAGAACCTCTTATTTCATCAAGGGGGAGAGAGGAAGGTGGACGAGCTCATTACTCCTCCCATGCACAGATTTTTTCCTACCACATTCAGACTATAGAAAGCTAATCTACCACCTGAAGGGGTGTCAAGGGCTGGGACATAAAGGACCCTCAGCCTTTACCTCAGTGAGTAACCCTGTTTTTATTTAAAAGTGTAAGTTGGACAATTGCTTTTACCTTTTTGAGTTCTTCATAGATATTCAGATATATTTAACTTAGTGTTATTATATTTAAACTAGTAGTAATACTATTATGCACATCCACAAATATGAACAGAAATTGTGTTGTCTCAGTTTAGTTTTACATATTTATTAATTGAAGAAAACACTTTTATGGAAAGGTGTATTCTTCAGGCCTTAACTTTAAAACTAATTCTAGGGGCCGGGGAGATGGCTCAGTAGAATAAGCACTTCCCTGGCAAGCACAAGGGCCTGAGTTCAATCCCCGATTCTACCAAAAAAATAATAATAATAAATATAAATAAATAAAACTAATTCTGTCAGAAAATGGCTTTGGGACTGAAGATTTGATCAGTTTAAATTGATGCTTTTGTAAGAAAGTCTAAAATTAGATCAGCAGAGTAGGCTTATGGCCATTTGGGAAAATATACTTGTCCCATTGATGCTAAATCCGAAAGTACTTGGTTCAATACACAGAAATGCTGATTCTGTCTGTGGGAGGCTTTTTTTCTTTTTAAGTGAAAAGTTTGATAGTTCTCAAAAAGTTTATTTAGCAGACATGTACTGTACTCTTTCCTGTTGTATTTTGAGGCAGGTAGATAAATTAGAGCAAGTATTGGCAAACTTTCTATAAAGGGTTAGATAGTACATATTTTAGGATTCATGGGACATATTGTCTCATTTGTAACTACTAAACTATGTCTTTAAAGGGTGAAGGCAGCTGTAATAGTATGTAAACAAATTGGTATGATTTTGTTCCAATAAAACTTGATTTACCAGATCAGATTTTACTTGAAGGTAATCGTTGCCAGAACCTTAAACAGTCATTTCAGGATTTTACAGGATAAAGCTATGGGGGCGAGGGGGTATTTAGAGCTAAGTTTAGGGCAAAGAAAGTTAATATAAACTCTGATAGTATGATTGGTTGAGAGTTTTAGTGCCTGGAAATCAGAAAATTACAAGGTTCAAATTCTAATCCTGTTAATGCCTTGCAGGAATCATTTTCCAATGGCAATTCCCCTTTTATTACTAATGTCAACTCTTCCACACAGAGTGAGAACTGGGAAATGAGGAATTGGAGAGAGCTAGATGATCTCTGGGGCCCCTTGGTGCCATATCCACCTCAGTCGCTGCTCCTAGCCATAGAGCAAGGACTTCACCTTGGGTTTGTTAAGTGACAGATCTTAGGTTGGGCTGTAATAGTATGGACTGGATTCTCACAATCTCATCTTCTACTCTCACCTTTAATTTGCATAGCAAGTGCAGTGTACTATACAAAACTGCACATTTCATTTACTCTTCAGTTTGTCCACCAGGTAGCCTAATGATAGGATGGCATCAACATTTCAAAAAGGTACCAAGCCTACAAGGTATCTTAGGGCAGCAGTGGCAAACCTTTTAGAGACCAGTGCCAAGCTGCCACCCCAAGCCCACTTACTTATCTCAGAGTGCCAACACTGCAATTAAACCTGAATACTGGGGGTGTAGCTCAGGAAAAACAACTCATGCAGTAACATCTTTTTGTCTTAAAAACACAGTAACATGCATGCTATAGGCTTCTCTCAGAGGCAAAAGCAAGCTCCAGCTCAGAAATTTTAGCTCAGTGGATCTTGATACCACTGTTGGGGTGAGTAGAGAATGGTGTAGGAATGGACTCAGAAATGTCCTTTCAGTGTTGGGTGTTGTATTCCCTCCAAAAATTACATAGCCATGCTCTAGCATGGGACTATACATGCAGGAAATGGATTCTGAGTTGACCTGTGTTTGACTGTATTCAAATTCACATTTTTTTCCTTAGGACCAAAGAATAAGTGGTCTCAATAACCTTATATATGTCAAGGAGATAAGAGTAGAAATATTGTAGCAAGAATTGTTCAGGTAAGGCTAACACATAACTGGAGGGTTAGTCTGTACTTATCTTCTTCAGAGGCTGGGCCCACTGAGTAGGATATACTCTATCAATTTGCAGATCAATTTGGCAATTAAAGTTTTAAAATTAACTACTTTTTATGCTTTCATTGATTCATTTGGAAATATGCCAGACACCAAGCTAGATTCGGGTATTGAAAATGGTAGACAAACTTCTGTCCTCAGATTTTAGTGGCGTTCTTGTCTGAAGTGATTCTAGAACAGGCCATGGTGGTATAAACCTGCGATCCCAGCACTCTGGGAAGCTGAGACAAAAGGATTGATAGTTTTGAGTCCAGCCTGGGCAGTTGGACAATTTGGCATCTTGATGAAATCATATCTCAGAATATTTTATTTTTTAGGAAGGGTCTATAGGGCGTTCAGGGTCTCACTACTAGATCAGACTCATAGTGATCCGCCTGTTTACAGCCTCCCAAGAGCTGGGATTACAGGTGCGTGCCACCACACCCAGTCTCAATTGTTGCCTCAGCGCCCCCCAGGGGCTGGGCTGTCATGGCAGGCCCGGGATTGAACCCCCAGCCCCTGTGCCTGCTTGCGGGTGCTTTAATCTGCTGAGCTATTTGGCCAGCCCTTTCATAGCTTAGAAGTTTGAAAGATTCTTAAAAGAGCTGGGAATTGAGCTTTATTCAAAGGCCTTGGGTTCAATCCCTAGTGCCACCAATAAAAACAAAAAAACCCACAATGATATTATGCATGTAATTGTTTTAGAAAAAAAAAAACCTTAATTTTTCAGCTCTAGAGTTTGCTTTTAGCAGCCTGTACCTTATCCTGTAGTGTCTTTTTTTTTTTTTAATTTTATTTATTTGTGTGTGTGTGTGTGTGTGTGTGTGTGTGTGGGGCCAGCTCAGTCCACCAGGGGGCGGACTGGCTGGCATGTGCTGGGGGATTGAACCGCGGTCCCTGTGCTTTGCTAAGCTTGTTCTAAGTAGTTGCTTTAGACCACTGAGCCATCTCACCAGCCCCCTGTAATGTCTTAAGTGTACTTTTATCTTTTGTTTTCAAAGCACTTAATTATACAGTGAGCTGGTATGTGATTCTTACAACCACCCTGGGAGGGAGATTTAGGAATCCTTGTTCCTGTTTTTTAGATGAGAGAATTAAGACTTAGATGGCCTTGCTTCTTGATTTGTCTAGAATAGTTCTGGTTGTTGCCTTTTGTTTCTGGAGTGTCATTTCATACAGCCTATCTTAAATGATGAATTATGCTTTCAGTCAAATAAGTGAGGCCTCAGCCCCTTAACTCCATCTTTGGTCATCAAATCTGATTTTCTTACAGTACAGACACTTCGTGGTATAAATCTGCAATCCCAGGTTCACGGCGGTGCAGTTGATGTGTTACTGGGCAGGGAAAAGGTAGAGTTGCTCATGGCACAGTGGTTGGTGAATAGGTTGAAAGGGCTGAGCTCCCGAGACAAGTTGTTGGGGATTCTGTGGTTCTCAGTGCTGATTTTTGAGGGCTCGTGATTGCTTGCCTTGTGATTGTGCGGAGCTGCAGGTTGCGTGGGACGAGCTGTCTAACTGCAGTGTGGCTGGCCTGTGGCTCCGAGGGGAGCATAGCTCACTCCAAGTGTGCAAAGAAGTCGAGGCTGCTTGGGGAAGGGCACAGCTCAGCTGCTTCACAGCAGGGTGTCCCACACAGTGCTGGTGTACCAGTCATGCGGTGCTCACTTCGCTGAGTCGAGTAAGCAAGTGTTGGTCTCAGCTCCATAGTTGACTACCTGTACAGACTTGTACGAATTGCTTCATGAATGGGGGTGATATCTGTCACCAGAGGTGTGGTGCTGACACATGTCCCGTCTGTTCTGTACAGACAGAGCTATGGAAATCACAAAGGTTGCCTCTGCTGCTGCTACTTCCTAAAGCCTCACATTTTACTGTGTGTCTGAAACGTAAAACATTTCTGCTCAATAAATTAAGCCATCAGAGAGGTCCAGGTGTGCCATCTCGGCCCTGGATGCGAGCGTCCACTGTGTGTCCACTGTGCAGCCCCAGAACCGGGGGTGGTAACACATGCCTGTAATCCCAGCACTCAGGAGGTTGAGCCAGGAGGATTTCTTCAAGTCTGAGACCAGCCCGGAGCTACAAAAGTGAGCACAAGGCCTGCACAAACTGCATAGTGAGACCCTGTGTCCAAAAAAAAAAAAAAGAATCTGGGTCATAGTTATGGCGGGGGAGGGGGGTATCCTGTTTTCATTACTTTTTGTGCATTTAAAATCATCTATAATAATAAAAAGGAAAACTTAGAAACAGTTTGAATTTTAGTATATTAAGTTTGAAAATGAAATTTATTGAAAATGAAATTTGGATAAGCAGCTGTGTATGTAAGTTTAGACTTCACTGC